CATCACCTATTTTATAATTTTGTACTTTCTTCGGTTCCTTTTTTGTATCTCTCAATGTATTTTTTATCCTTTTCTTCATTGCTCTGAAAATATAAATATAAGAGACAGTCAATAAAAATTCCTACTTTCTATAACATAGTTATAATGTAAACAATAAACTAACTCTTTCTCTTTCTTTACAACTTCTAATTCTTCTTGAGTTTTTACTTCGTCGTCACTTTCCCAATCGCTAGTACGGTCTTTATTGCTTTTTTATTTGCAAGTCCAGGTGGTTTAACTGCTGGTTGTGAGCTTAATTTGGGATCAGTTAAATGATCATGAGCTGTTTTGCTCTTACCACTGAATTTTATATTTAATATCGCAGATTCTTAGTAAAAATCAAACATATATGATTTTTACCTTACTCCTGCTCTTTTAGTTTCTGACCTGTCCTTTACTTCTTAACATTCCTGTACTGTTATTCTTGGTATAATATTAGAAAATGGATTGTTCAATATTACAGATTTTAACAATCTTGGAGGATATAGTAGTCTATCATTCTACAAAACAGAGGAAATATTATATTTATATCAATTCTTGATATACATTCTTGCAAACATTAAATTTACCTCATCTACAGGTGCTTCTTCGAGTTTAAGCATGTTATATATAGTTGCTCCAGTAACTTTACCAAAGATTGTATGTTTATTCTACAAATCTGGTGTAGAACTAAGAATAAAGAAGTATTGGGAACCAGTGTCACCTTTCCAGCATCAGCCATAGCAATTAAATCTCGTCGACAAAAACGTAATCTTGTATGAAAGTCGTCCTAAGACATATATATCCAATAATTATTTTTCAATAGAAACGGAATTCATTTTATTTTTAAATATAGTCTCACTTTAAATGGTTATCTATATATTTTATATTTATGAATGAATATATATTCATGAACATATATTTATGAATATATGTTTTTTCCATATATTCTCCTGCATCTCTGGGATCATCACCTTATGTTATGAATCCTTTGATAATTCTATGAAATATAGTGTCATCTTTATAACCTTCCATACATAATTGCATGACATTTCTGCATGCTTTTGGAGTTTCTTGTGCTCATAATTCTAAATCAATATCAACAACAATTGTTTTCATTATAACCTAGTTATAACAAATATATTAGTTTTATTAATGTAAAATACTTTTAAAATCAAATTTATTAAAATTTATTATTTATTATTGTAATTCAAACTAGAAATTATTTAATATATTAATATAGAAATTTATACCGTAAATATTGTATATCGGTTAAATTTTTAAAAACAGATATACAATCCATTGAAATATTATTAATGATACTTATTACTTTACCCTTAGTGGCTGACTCTTGCATATAAATATTACTCATGTTTGTAAGTCTCCTGTAATAGAAAAAATCCTTCGTCAATAATATTTCATATTAAATCTTTAGTCATTTATAAATCAGTCAACCAAATGGTTCTTTTCTTGAATAATCATCAGCAATATTAATATTTATTTAGATCAGGAATACAACATACCTTTCAATCTGAGTGTATTTTATATATTTAGTTGTTATAAGAGGCCATCATCTAAATTAATTTCATTCCTTCTTGTCTGCTTAAGCCATCTCCCATTTTATGAATCGTCATTTGACCATCAAAGATTTCTAACTTGTATGCTACATCTTTAGCTGACCTAAAATAGAATATTCATATCATAACATATTTGTATTGCTGCATCAATTTTTTTTCACTATAAAATATGTCTTGACACCTAATGACTCTACGCTGGTGATATTCCATGAGTCCAATATTTTTTCAGTATTGCACGTGTCTGTTTATTTCAACAGAATATTGTCTTGTACCTACTCTACGCTGTTATACCGAACAAACTTTATCCAAAAGTCTAATTTCGGAAATATTAGCGAAGAAAGTAAACTTTGTAGTACGATTTTACAGGCACAAACACTATTGTCAGTTTATTTAATTTGTGCACCTTACCATCGAAGAAATGTTTACAGTTAGTAATCTTCAACTTTTTAAGCTTCCCATAATTTCTAAAAATTGTGTCCTATTCGTAAATATTACGATAATGTTACAAACGTAACCTACAACTGCAATGTCACGAACTAATACCCGACATGTCGCATTATTTTTCTCAAATATATATTTCTTCAGTTGTAGTAATTAAAACGTCAATCAGCGATTTCACTACTTCACGAAACGTTTTGAGGAAATCTTTTACTTTGACGAACGAGAATATTCCATTATTTGTTATCCGTATGCCGTTTTGCCACTGCGGCCGGACAAGCTAGGTATGTTTGTGGCGGGTAAATGCTGCATCTTTGAAATAGTTGTGCTAAATATCTATGTAGAATATCAAACGATGTCACTTATATTTATTAATATCAATGAAGCAAATATAAATATATTTCTGTTAGGAAAATGATAAATTAAAAAATGCTTAATTTCCAATATAAAGACGTTATATATTAATAAAATTAATTATAAAATTAATATCAAAAATATAATATATGATAATATATATTATATATTAGTTACAAAATTTGGTACATGAGCATTGTAACCACCTTTATTAAACATATTTTCATAAAATTCTATAAATGCATGATTGAAAATGTGTGGTAGCATTCTGAGGCGTATAATATGTATATATAAATTAAGTAAATTCGTAAAATTGGTCAAAACCGCGAATTTTAACTTATTTTAGAATGGGTTATCCGTATGGACTATGGATGATTCCTTTAGTTAATATCAATTTTAGTTACTGTTCACTTTTTTTTAACTTTAAAAAGTTGTTTTAAACATATATATGTTAAAAAATATTGTTACGCGGTAGTAAATAACTTTTTTATATGAAAAAATAATTGTCCATATATAAATTACTGTTCATATTGTTATTGCCAATTATACGAATCATATATCGACAATGAACTATGTCATAACAATTATAAAAAGTTCGCGAATCTTTGGAAAATCGGTTGAGCTCGTAAATGTTCGGTTGACCTCGGGCAAGGGTACCGTCGGTTCATATAGGTGAGACCTGGTAATTGGCATTGTTTGTCAAAGATGAATTTTTCCACACTTACTTCCATGGATTCTATCAAAGTATTTATAGATTTTACCAAATAATTGATCTTTGACAAACAATACCAAGCTAAGAGCTACGCAGTACTCGCAGTCCAGTCTAACCTCTGAGTGGCTACCTTGGGATAGCTTGGAGGCTAGATTGGAATCGCGAGTACCACTTTATGTGTACCCCCTCCCCCAAACCGTACGGGGCAACGTTGGACATCTTTGAACATCTTTGAACATCTTTGAACATCTTTGAACATCTTTTATTTATTCTTCACCACATGCCATTTCATACATTTTCGCATACTCATATATATACATAGCGCACACACTTTTCCTTTATCTTTGATATTCGACAAATAATTCTTTAACTGGTCGCGTTCACATATAAGACATTTCATAATCAGTCTCATATTTCTAGATCGATAAGGTAATCAAAGTTGAATTATGAAAATTCATAAAATGATAAGTCTATGTATCTTTTATGTCGTCTATGGTGATACAACGAAACCACTTTCTTCACAGTCGATATTTTACTTCTGATAATACGAACCTATATTTAATAATAGATTTATATTTCATCTATGATTAAACTTAGAAACAAGTTGAATATATTTTAATGCAAATTATACTCAGAATGATTCACTATAAATGTAGACAAGGTACTTATCCATCTAGCAATATAAGACGTTTCCAAATACCTGAAGAAAAAGTGTCATGGAAAATTGAATATTCAGAATATAAGCCAGTTGAATACACCGCTTCAAATCTTACCGGGAAATCATGGGCAGACCCGGAAATTGATAACATTTCGTTCAAACCAAAGTGGAACTCTATTGACGGTAAGCAACTAAATTTGAAATATAACTTCTAAATTTAAAACTTCAAATTTAACTTCTTAAATTAACAATTCATTAACAAAATTTATGATTTTAATTAATTTAAGAAAAGTTTCTAAAAGGATCGCAAAAAATAACAAAATTTCAACATTAACAAATGTATAATTAATATAGTAGTAAAATATTCTAAATTCATTCATTATAAAATATGTTATCGAAACCACAATAATTTATTATAGTTTTATAATTTGAACTATTAATTGACCAATTTCAATACAATATTAACGATATATTAGCATTTACAATGACAAAAAGTTTGTTGTCACATATTTATAATTTGTTCAATTAATAACTTGTATAAATTAGTTTATATTTAGACTATATTGAATTAATTTTTTTATTTGACATTCTTTGTTCTTCTTCTAAGGTATTGCAACAGTTATATAAAACATTCGTTAACTTCATTTTGTAGAAATAATTTTTCTAATTACCTGAGATATTAATTAATAAATAATAAATATTAGTTAATATTTTATACACATTTTTTTATTTGTTATACTTTTATAAAAATATCAATAGTTCTACTAACATTTTATCATTCTATTCTTATATAATATAACATTAATTAATAGTAACTCAATTAATAATCTAATATATGTATTATGATATATTGAAATATTTATAAATTTGTTATTAACAGGAAAGGTAAATCGTAGAAGTTTTATGGGTGACTATGTTATAAATAAAGATGGTTATCCTTTAAATCCCATTGGTCGCACTGGAATTATTGGACGTGGTCTCTTAGGGCGATGGGGACCAAATCATGCAGCAGATCCAATTGTAACCCGTTGGAAACAAGATCTTGCAGGAATGATACAAATAAATAAGGATACAAAAAAACCAATTTTGCAGTTTGTTGCTATACAAAGACAAGATTCTGGAGAATGGGCTATTCCTGGTGGAATGGTTGATCCAGGTGAAACAGTCTCAGCAACTTTGAAAAGAGAGTTTATGGAAGAAGCAATGAATTTTCTAGGAAAAGATGAAACAGAAAAAGAAAAATTAGAAAAATCGATGAGAACATTTTTTGAAAAGGGAGAAGAAATTTATAAAGGATATGTAGATGATCCTAGAAATACAGATAATGCTTGGATGGAAACTGTAGCCTTAAATTTTCATGATAATAATAATAGTGTTATTGGAAGCATAACGTTAATAGCTGGTGATGATGCACGTAATGTGAAATGGATGGATATTGATAAAAATCTGAATTTATATGCTAACCATAGCGAGTTTATCAGAAAAACAGTACAAAAACGTGATGCACACTGGTGAAAATATTATACTTTTAATCAATAAGACATGCCTGATTGTTTAACAAGAATTTATTCTTTTATCGAAGATTAAACAAAATTAATCAAAAATACCTCATATAGACACAGAAATATGAAAGAAAAACATAAACATGAAACATTTTTACTACTTTATAAAAAAAGTAAAATCATATGTAATTACATGAAAATGAGCAATATAATTTTATGACAAAGTTATATTTCATTTGTTATTGCTATCATGACTGTATGCGTTAGATAAAATTAATTTTTTTATTCTATACGTACATATATCATAATGTATATATACATCATAGATAACAAACGAACTTATTTCTTATAATTATATAAATTTGAATTATCATTGAAAACTCCATGCTTTTGTATTAATGAAGATATCTTACTGAAGATAAGTCACAAAAATGAATATACACACGTAAATAAGAAAAAGATCTATTTTGATTCTATAAACAAAATTTTATAAATGTAAAACCACAAATTTTATTTTGTAAATGTCTTAAAACAATCCTTAAAAATGTTATATTAAATAAATATTTTTGTAAAAATACTATATATTCTAAATAAATTATGTCATATAATTAATTCAAATTTTTATGTTTAAACTTAATTATTCGTAATAATATAATTGACATAAATGTTAGAAAAAATTTCATTGTATATTCTATACACAAGTAACATTATATTTTCACTTTCAGTAATTCTGCTATACCCTAACATGACATACCATAATTATTTAACTCCACAGGAATATGTATTATATCTTTATCCGAATCACACATATTTAAATCTAATTCTGTTTGTGACTGTGTACTAAATACACTATTGTAATTAACCAGTTTTTTAAGAATATAATTTATATTTTCATTATTTCGCATATACTCTAAGATATTTTTATGTTCATCTGGAAAAATCGTAGATTTTTCTTTTGATTTATCTTGATAATAACGTTTTTCTAAATCTAGTGCATGTTGTGCCTGACTTTGCCCTAACTTTGCTGCCTTAATAAAATAACTACGAGCTCTATCAATATCTACTGGAAAATCACCTCTGCCTTGTGCATGAAAAACTCCTAAGTTATATGTAGCATCTGCATGACCTTGTGCTGCTGCATCATTATAATATTTTGCAGCCTAAAGAAAAAAATGTAATATTTATAGAAATGCAGTATTTTATACATTTTTAAAGGTATAACTTAATTTTTATATTACATCATGTGTATTATTAAAATGGTTTCATACCTTTGAATAATCAACCAATGTTCCAAGTCCTAATTCATGACATAGACCTAAATTAAACATACTAGCAGCAGATGATAAACTTGCACCAACAGTAAAATGTTTTATAGCATCTTTGTAACGTGTCTCTTTTAAGGCTTTCAGACCATAATGAAGTTCATATTCTGCCATAATTAATTTATGGCTATTAGCAAATTCTTCAGTGGCTTCTTTTAAAGCCTAAGGATGTATAAAAAAGGCAAGTATTAAAATTATATTAATAACCCTCATTTTAGAATTTTTTATATTAAAAAAATACTTTAAGAAAACCTTTCATTCAGGTTTAGCTACTTTATTAGTCATATTATATTATATTGACTGATCAAAATAGTATTTTACTACCTTATATTATCGTGTAATACATACATATTTAAAAAGTGCTTAAGCATATTGAAATAATAATTATATCAAATTAAATTTATAATAATTTGTTTATATTCAAGATATAATTTCAATATCAAATAAACAGAAGTTTGCTTTGGAAAGGAAATATAATAAAAAATTTTTCAAATTCGTAGTATTTGTTATTTTATAACTTTACACAATATAGTATTAAACAGTAATTTACAATTAAATTATTAATTTATACACTTAAAATTACAAAATTGTTTATTAAACAACAGATTACAAATACTTAAGATGAATTTGAAAGAATATTCAAATTATAATAAAATATATTTGACATTAATCCAATTGAAGCTGTACAATAAATTAGTATTTAAAGACTAGATAGAATAATTTGAATAGTAGAAAATAACATAGTATGATGTAATGATTCAATGCATTGGTTTAATAGCAGAATGTCTTCTGCTTTTTACTACAAGTTTATTTTTCATATATTATAATGTCTGCAGAATAACATTCTCACCTCTTCCACAGTAATTGGCCCAAATGGCTTGTCAGCTTTCCATTCTACTTCAGTGTTTTCTTGAGCATATATTTTATTATTACCGATACAATTAATAAGTGGTAAAATATGTTTTATTCTTAAATTTAATACTTGATTAAGTAGATAAGAGCTAGGTACTTCTGGAACTTGTAATAGTTTGTTTTTAAAAGAATCAGTAGTTTGTTTTACACAAGAAGTTTTTTCTTTTTCATAGAATCTTCTACGAAGACATAATGTTTGGCACACCACCATTCCAACAGCTATTAGACTTGTCTATTAAAAAAATTACCACATTATTTACTAAATAAATAAAATTAATATTCTTATTATTACTAACATAAATATAAATATTATAATAAAACTATATTTGCTAAGATATCATTCTATTTAAAACTTTTAATGTAATTTTTATGAAATTTTATATTTTATAAGACATTAATATCAATAATAAAAAAAAAAAGGAATTAAAATAATATGAATTATATTAAAAAAAAGAATTTGAGCATAAAATATTACAAAATACTATTCTATATATAATTTTGAAAAGCTTTATGTATTTATTTTTTAAATTACAAATTAATTTCTTTTATGATTTTATAATTTAGATGAAATAAAAAGATCATAGATAAGAAAAATAAACAAAATAGTTTACCCATCCTATGGCTTCTGACCAGGTATATTTTGTATTCCACTTGGAATCATGATCTTTGTCTTTTGGTCCATTAGTTTTTGTGGATCCACAAAATTTTTTATTAAAAATAAAAAAAGTTGATGGTAAAAATTTATTATTACACGTCAAACTGGTTTTAACCTCATTTTGAGTGTTGGATTCTTGAGTAGTTTGTAAATAAACATTTGTACGACCTACTTCCAAAGTTTCACGAATACCACGAGTTACAAATTTCCACATCTTAATAATTAATTATGATATAATTAAAAACTTTTTTATATTATCAAATATTCTTTTACACTTCCGCACCATACAAGGAACAGCGGTGAACTAATAGTGAAAAATTTGACAGTCGGATTCTAAAACCTTTCGTATGAATTGCGCGCGCAATTATTGTAAATATATGCATATATCTGCTCTTAAATTTTATATCACACACTTTTATTCATAATTTATTACTTTTTTTAATATAAATTTAGAAATAAACAATTCCTTTCTTTCCTTCTTGTTGAAAGTAATTCATTAATAAAATACCAGTCTACAGAAATTACATTACTTTTATTTTAATTAGATTACTTATATGTATTCATTTTAAAGAAAATAGTTGCAAAAAAATAAATAAAATCAAAAAAAGAATTTTTAAAAAATAAAAATGTATTGTAACTTTTTAAGGATATTATATATTGCAATAAAATAAATAAGAAATATTTTTACAATTCTACTTTTATATTGTACACAATAATAAGAACCCATGATACATTTTAAATACATAGTTGAATAGTAAAATGGTAGAGCCTTCGCACAACTTAAGCATATTTTACATATACATAATGTTTTACTACATAATAAGAGATACATTTATATATTTTTGTTTGAAATAAAAATAAATGTTTAAAACAGAAGTATTTATAGGTGCATTTATAAATGTAAATTTCTTAAATAAAAATTTTGTATAATGTTATATGTTTTGTATACAATATGAATGCTTGAATTATTATATTTAAAAACTAAATGCTTCGTAAATATTTGCTCCAAGTGTTTTAAGTTCATTATTTAATACAAGACGTTGTAGTAATTCACTTTGAAAATCTTTTGATGTTGATTTATCTGGTACTTGTCCATTTATAATTGGTATTATTTTAGCCATTGGCATTGATACTTTATTGATATTTGTAAACACACTTGAATCATACCTCATGTTTGTGCTATTTTGATTTGATGTTCCTGGTACTGAAATACCATTTTGAATAGTTTTACCATTTTCTATTATAGGAGAACCAATAAAGAATGCAGAAATGTGATCTACTAGTAAATTAAATCCATTTCTAATATTACTTTGTGTCAAATTTTGTACTTCTTCACTTTCTAGGAGATCCAATGTTTCATTAAATAATTTTAATAGTATAGGTGTTGGCTCTTCTTCACAATTTGATAGTAGCATATATTCGGCAAGATTTTTTATAGGATTCTTTGCATTATCTGAAGAAATAGAAGATGTTACTGCCCAATATATTTCTTCTATATCTCTTAAGGTTAATTCGTCTTTTAAAGATATAGATGCTGTTATTTCTGCCACTTTGTCTTTTATAAGTAAACTTAATTTTTTAATCCCATCATATATAAAGTGACGCGAAAGTGACATATACTTTGTTTGTATAACATTTTCTGTAGTTGTATCATTAGAATTCTGAATATCCTTGTATACATGACCACCCATTACATTAAATTGAATTCTTATTAAAGTTGCTAACATAGCATATGAATATACTACTACAGCAGATCTAGCAATTGCTAAAACTTTTAATTCATTCCAACATGCTATTTTATCAGGACAACCATTTCTAAGCTTATTTACAATAGCATCAGTATCCAAAATCTTTATTATAGAAACTCTTAAAGTTGATGTAAGAGACATTATCATATGACTGCATGTCCTCTCAGTAGATTCAAAATATTGCCGTCGTTTTGATCTGTCTAACATATCTTTTATCTCTTTTTCTTGCCATTCTCGAAGCCTGCGTGCTGTGTATCTAACAAAGATAACACCGCCAACAATAATACCTCCTACTATAAATTTTCGTCTATGACGATTTACAAATCCATGAAGTCTCGAAAACATTTTTTAAAATAAATTATGTAAAATATGAGTTATAAAATACTACATAATCTATATCATAAGTAATGACAATATATTTATTGAAATATAATTATGAAGATATCTTGGTTATTAAGTAATTTATTGCACATCCAATTCTGTAGGATTTTGAAAAACTATGTTTTCCAATCTATATGCGATAAAATTACTTGTATCGATAAATCTCTCTACACAATTTACAATGCAATTTCGACTACTTGAAGACAATGAACTATCAGGTGATCCAATACAGAGTTGCCAGCAAATATCAGTTAAATTAAGTGCCAATCTCTGAAAATAAAAATACTATATTTACACTATTTATATTAACAAGCAAGTAGTTATTTATTAATCATTAGTATTTTTTACATAATCTATATAATTTTAATATTTAACATATAATATGTAATGTTTAAATATATTCTTTCAACATATTGTTAAAAAAAAACTGTTTTATAAATAATTTCATATTTGTAGCAAAAAAGTCATAAATGGTATTATGTAAAATATAAAGTTCATTAGTGTATTCAGTATTCTTCATTTTATAATTTTATTGATAAATATCATTTTCAATATTTGCGATGTCAGAAATATAATAACTGAAAATTATTTCATGAAGTCGAAAAATGATCGAAAGAAATGGATAATCACCAATGAGCTAACCTGAAACTGTTGTTTTTTACTTTCTTGCACTAAGAACGCTTGAAATTGATCGTCAACCGCACCTTTCAACCTTTGATCCTCCATAAACCTCATTCTTTAATTTTCACCGTACTTTTAAAGCTGAAATAATGCAAATATTTGACCTTCACTCCATTACTCTGATTTTCGCATGGCCTAACGGTTGCTAAGGAGTACATAAAGTTATCTACATTTTGTTACTTTTACTAAGGAAAATGAAACTAATCGGGGTAAATTATTAGTTAAAATTAGAAATTAATATTAAGCTTTGTACTTATAAATTGAAACTTGAGATACTCGATTAAATAAAGATCATACAATTTGTAATTACTCAATACTGACCTCTGCTGGTAAAACAATTTATTGCATAAAATATTAACATGCATAGTCGATAAAGTTGACCGTTATTACAAAATATTAAAAAGAAAATTAATTTAGAATTTTTAAGTATCAATAATTCTTTAAGTATCAAATAAATTGGGATATAGATTTTCAATTAATAGCAACTAAGCAACTAAGCAACTAAAGCAACTGTTTTATCAATTAAGTTACATAAACTATCGACTTTATCCATGACTTCATATTGGAGATAGCTGCCACCTATACGTCCATATTACAAGATGGTTGATATACTCGTCATTCTAACACAATGTTAAATCATTCTGTACCTATATTCGATAATTGTATCTATATAGCTATAAATTGAAGCTAATAATGACAACTAGATTAAAATGTTAATAAAAATTTGGGTGAAATATTAAGCATTTTTAAATATGTACATAGATACCTTTTTATTTATTAAAATTTTATAAATTTTTTTTATAGTTATTACGTCTCTTAATTTGAACTTATTGATTTTAAGTAATTTTGTAAAAAGAAATAATCAGATAAATAAATAGATTAAGATAGAAAGAATATGGAAAAAATATAGCAGGTAGAATATTATCTACTTGCGAAATAAAGTTATTTTTTAAAAATTAGAATAAATATAATAATTATTGAATAGTAATATAACGGTGAAAGTAAAATATGTCACTATATACCAATTTCATAGTAAAGATAGTTATATATAATAAATATAAGGTAATAAACTTGATACTATATATATTTGGTACACTATTATGTGAAAAAATTTTATAAACATCAAAATTTAACCTTTTCTTTTAAACCAATATAGAATTTGATAATTATATTAGAATAATAAATCGAATTTTGATTAATTTTATCTCTATAATGTATTTGAATATATTTGTGCATCAATATGTGTACAAATATTAATTAATAAATAATTTAAATACATTGTAAAGAATTCTTAACAAATAACTCTCAATATTATTTCGAATTTTTCATTTAACACTGTATTTTAACAATAACAATACTAACAGAAAAATCTGTATCATACACAACAAACTTTTTCTTGAATTTAAGCTTCATAATTACAATATGACACGAGTGAAACTTACATTTTATCTGTAAAATAAGAGAAAACATGATAATGAAACCATTATTGTAATTGAAATTACAAAAATACGATATCATTAAATGTCAATAAATTCAATAACCTCACCTCTATTTACAGACTTTTGAAACTTTCTTTCATCTGTGATCGAGTTATCACCTTAATAGCTTTTAAGAAACACGAGTTTATCGTACTGGTAATTCCAGATATTCCATTGTATACTTAAAACGTTCTATATTACTTATGCATAACTTATTAATAAATCATCTGCATTGACTGTAGACAGTGAAACGATAATGGATGTTGCACACGCAGTCTCGTCGGTAGTTGCACACATGCAAATATGCATTGAGATTAAATTTGCAAGCCACGTGGAGGCATTGCAAATAACCCTGATTGGTTGCAGATCCTGGCGATCTCTGTCGTGGAGGGAAAGAAACATTGTGATGGTCAAAAAAGGTTGGAGGACCAAAAGGGATGAGAAGATTGCCGAAGGACGCTCCTTTCAGTCGAGAAACCAAACCGGAGTGGGGAAGTTGGCTACACGTGCGACTTCCTTCCCCTTCTCTGACCTGCTGTATCCATCTTTCGCCTTACAATCGCGACACCGATATCTCTCTCTTACTCCCAAGCATGCCTTTCTGCACGCACTACCAAATCATTACCGCGACCCCTGTTTTTCGCCTTCCTGGAAGAGACGTTTAAACAGTTTAAACGATATTCTGTAATTAATATCGTTAATATTTAAGTTGTTTATCCTTCTTGAAGTAATATGTTCGAAGATTAAATTTTTATTCTTCTCGATTACAACTCTATATTCAGCGTATATATACGATTATCTGGAAAAATTTCAGAGCTATAAAAATTATTTCATTCGAAGAGATTTCTTTTAGCGAACTAAAGATGTCTTTTTATGTAAGAGGGATAAGCATCAAATTCAGTGATACTTTTAGCTTACGATACAAAGACAGTTGTGTTGATCTAAGCAATCTAGGTTTATATTTAACTCGATATTTGTTATGGGAGTATTTGATATATCGAAGCATCTTCCTTCCCTAAACGAAATAATTTCTTTCACACTTTACTCTTTGATTTTCCCCAATACGAAATATAATTGGTGTATATACATTTAAATTATGTATATTAGACAAACAAATTCTTCCCTTGCAACGAAAAGTAAAATTTAAAAAGTTTCTATATTGACATATAGAAATATCATTTTTTTTTTGTAAAATAGATCATGCATTTTGGGAAAAAGCGAAGGAGATAGCTGAATCGAGTGCAGTTAAAAAAGAAGTACATAACGTATTATAATTAAAAGTAAATTGGCTCGACGAAGGGTTTCCGTACCTTCTCTTTGGCCAGACGATGTCGAAGAACTTTGGTCGTTTAAATAACACGTCGAAATTCTTGTTACGTAATGTGCGATGTTTTTAAAACGTCATCTGTAAAATGGAAGAAGAAAAAAAAGAAATAGAGATGAAAAAGGAAACAGGTAGGAAAGTGCGAGAGAGAGAGAGAGAGAGATGTTATTTTAATTTCTACCGTTCTTTTCATGACATACGAGATCTTTCTCATGAACTATTGGCAACGTCAGTCACGGAAAAATATGCCATGACGCCGTTTGACTACATTAGACGCACGCCAAATATTTCCAACAGACACGTGTGGTTTTAAATTCTATTGCAAGAATAATAGACCGTCTTCATACTATTTCTAAGAATACCCGAGATACGAGATCGGTCGGATATCTGAACGACAAGTCTAAACGTAATTACTGATAAAAATACATTATTAGAACATGGTAATTTAGAAATGAATGTTCAATGGTGTATTTTATTAGATTAAAGAAGAAGAAAACAATAGAATAGATCATTATGATATAGCAACATCATAAATATCTTTTTTCAGAGTAACTTGGCTATTTTTTAAGCCAGCTGGGCTACCTGGTACGGTTAGTTGAATATTAACGGTCATCATCTTGGAAATAACCGGAAAACGTGCCGACAGCTGATTACCCAATATAGAAGGAAAGGCCTCGTTGTAGCGATATGCCACGAACGGATGCTTTTCATGCCATCAAAATTATCAAATCTCTTCGATGGAATCGATATAACGCTGGTGAGTTAGATTATGTATTGTTAGAAAAATTTTAATCCTTCGGTTACTTTGACATAGATTTCGCATTTTATTTAGAAATCATCTAACGAGGTTTGTGAAGATTTGTGGGATCAGAAGAAACGGTTATTACAACATGTTGGAACTGTACAAGTTCTTCTCTGACGTGTTATCAAATGTACCTATTGTTGATATATCTTTGCAGTGTTATTTATATTCCGCTATGAAATTTTTTTATTTATTTTATCTTTGTATATTTTTTAATAATGATAGTTCATACGTCAAATCGATTTTGTCGATACATGAGATTCTGTAGATATTAGGAGAATATGAATACGTAATTTTATTTTACAAAATAATCTTTGGAACATGTATTTCATTGTTACATTGCCATCGTTGAAATCCTATTATGTTGAAAATATGAGTGTATGTAAGATATGTTAAACAAGTATGTATTATTAAAATATAATAACTTACGAGAACTACATAGTCATATGTAAAGCGAACTAACGCGGCACTTGAGATAGAGTATTAGTTGTGTGTTTTGAGGCGTTAATGAATTCATAAATTTCGAATTGTTCCTTATTTTAATGACACATTTTAAAGTACAAAGTAGATAAGATTGTGATAGTTGTAATTGAATGTCCACCTCTTTTCAAAACAGATACTTCCATCGCTAAATTCATTTTTAAAAATTGAAATGTAAAAATGTTGTCCAACATTGATAAATATAACGTTCAGTGGTTAAGAATAAAAATTGAGGTTATAAATATTTATCATTGGGTACATGTATATTTCATTTTATCCGATGTTTAAAAATCATAACCATATCGAGAGTAATTTTAAAATCTAATACGCTATCAACCAAACCCATATTATCATAACTGTTTTTTTTATTTGGTTTTGAGATTAGATATGTATCTTTGCGAATCTTAAACATTTCAAAGATATCATTTGTTACATTAGTTATGCTATTGCTTTTTTTTATAAACTTCATGAATTTATTGCCCATTCATAAAAGGTTCATTTATTTGAACATATTAGATTATTATCTTTCCAATTATATCATAAAATATTGTAGTTACCGAGTAACGTTGAAATCAGATCAATAAAAACATATTTACCATATCTTTTTCTGCTCAATGATACTGTATAGTCAATATTGTGACAATTAACGTTGACTGAAAAAGATTAAGGAAGACACGTGAATGTATTAAAAAAACGTGAATATATTAAAAAAAAAATTTTTTTTAATTAATACAATACCTAGGGTACCGAGAAAATATTTTCTTCGGCTAAAATCAACTCTGAGGATAATTCCTAATTTTATGAATGCCTCATAATACATCCTAAAACACAATAAATGCCATTCATTTTCTTATATAAAGACTGAAATAACAGGTCTCCATTTTATACATCCGCACGTTAAAGCATACCCAAAACTTTCTTTATTTAGAAGTCGATGCCCCTTTTGGTTCGGAAAACCGCTCTAAAGCCTTGTGTTTTGACACCTCCGAGGCACGTGAAACGACGAAATTCTATGAAGCACGCGCGTCCTGCTTTGCTTTCCCGCGGAACCTTTCGGAAGATCCCATTCGAAGTGGGGATGCACGTGCCGCGGCTTTTGTTATCGAGATTGTCGTAATGGAAGCTCGAGGCGCGTGCATGAGGATCGTGCATCTGCGCACGCGTGACCGTGTTGCTCACGACCACGAGGGGGGATAACATGGCGGTACTCGATCGCCGTTAGTCGATGTATGGACGCCGGTAGATTTGGATCATCCTTTCGAATCAGTCAGAATGAAAGGTGATTATGATTGAGAAATTCACAATCCGTGCTCTCTTCGTTTGCACTCGCTGTGACGTTATTTAATATTCGCTGTCTTGACCAGTGGACTCCAACAATTCGCGAGTGTCGATTGTAAAGTCTTATTACACGCGTTAAGTGACGTTTATAAGAGTTTGCTCTGACATCGTTCGAAAACGCGATTTGAGGGACTGTTGCTGAGTTCGTTCGATCATCACGTTGCGAAAGTGATTTTGTAACTGGTCGCCGTTTGAATAGTTTCAATTCTGAGGTGATTGACAACGGAAATTGAGAAGGCAGTGGATCTCGACGACCATTTGAATTTGTTTTGAAACCCTAGGACTCACGTCGTTAAGTTACCCTGTAAATAGGTGAGTTACATAGTATAGAGTTTGCTATCTTGTATCTATATGAACATTATGATTTCTGTGCACGTGACAATAACCAATCATTGCATATTTTGGTGAAATTTCGTAGTTATCACGATTTCGTTATTAATTTACGTGAATTTTGATATTTGTGGAAAATTGAAAAAATGTATATTCTATCACATTGGATATTATATACTATGAATTATATAGTGTAGTCTATATTTTAAGCTTAGTATATTATAGCCAATGCGTATAATTGCGAATACAGAATTGTGTCAGCCATGTAACCACATCCTGCTACATTTTATTCTTAATATTTTATACGAGAGGAAAGAAATATAATTTATTACTTGTTTAATTAATAACTTTATTAAATTAGTAAAATATATTTTTTCAACTATTATTTTATGGCGTGTAAGATTTGGTATAACCAATCAACATAGTTTTATAACTCTAGAAAATTGTTTTATTAATACTGAATAATAATTGGCTGTATTGACGTAGGTTTCATTACGTGATTGTATTTATAATTTGACTTGAATACATTTTTTAAGCAAATATACTTATTGCATCGGTCATATCGTACAATACATGTATATGTAAGTCATAGAATTAGTCATCATAATGTAAGCAAATATAGTATGTTGATATTGCCACGTGCGGTCTACTTAAATCAGTTTTCTATTGCAAATAGTAATTCTTGGCACGATAATCATTTGTCAATATATTCAAAAGCGTTAAGCAATACTTTTTATAATGTATATTTGCAATAAATGCATGTACGCAACTCTCCATTTTTAACTCGGTTAATAAATTCTCAATATTTGCGAAATAGGTATGATAAAAATTCATTAAAATTTCTAGCGATAAATCATACATTCGATTTACAATTTTTAATAACTGATTTAGTGTGAACGTATAACCCGATAAAATATCGGAAAATTATTAGATATAATTTATAAATTTAATATAATTTATTGTCATGGATACTGATATTTTTAAAGATTATGTATTCAAGTGTTTTATACTATATTTGAGAGAATTTATACTTTGTATAATTTATAAATAATTCGTAATTATTTAGTCTTCAGTAAATTCATTGTTATTTAAAACCTTTTCTTATAGATTAATATTAAGTAGTACATTAATCTTACATATTTCATACAGTAATAATTTTTCAATAGAGAAAGTTATAAATGGAAATGGAAATATATTTTTAGACATTATCATTGTAAATATTATTATTAAAGAAAATTAATTTCGTACCACATTATATCATTGTTTATTATTGTTATTATCACAATACGTATATTAGTTATTTTGAAAAGATAAAAACTGTTGTACTAGTGATAATTTATATTTTCTAATTATGACAACTACAGATTTGTTTCAATTTGCACTGATACATTTTGTGGATCAAGTGTTTCAAAATTTTTATTTGACATAACTTTTTTTGTGTAAATCAATTATATGGTACATATTTATATTTCAGTGTAAATTAGGTACATAACCCTACTTTTTTAACAGCATAAATTTTTAGATTCCATTAATAAATTCTAAAAAGATATATACTTTCGTATGCAAGTTAAATAACCCATTTAAATAACAATTCTATATTAAATAATCATTTCGAATAAATTTCGGAAATTACAAATCCCTCAAAAGTTCTTAAAATCTTCAATACAGTACAACTTACCATATACCACATATATGTATGAATCTATGATTATATAGTGGCTTAACTCACATATTTTTCATTTCGAGATATCTAACAATTAATTAGAAATTCAACTGGAAACCGTCGAATATAGCAATCGAAGGTTTCCAAAAATACTTCTCGACATAGACCATGCATATACATAGATCACCCACCCGTCAGAAATATTCGATTTTCCACTCATCGATAAAACAACTCGTTACCAATAACATTTCTCAAACCCGACATGAGCTTAATCTTTCCAGTACCAAACTCTGACAAATTTCCAACAACTCTGCTATTATTAAACGTAATACTGGAAAGCTGTTGTTAATCCAGGAAAGTTTCAAAAGCGGCTAAGCTCGCGTTATCGAACAATCGTGCGTTTCTATTGGACCAACCACTCCATTTAATTGCGCAATCGATCAGCAAAGCACACGATTCTGCTCTAAACTTAAACGCGCGTCGCGTTGCGTCGCCTCGATCTCTCGCAATGGGCCTGGGTGTCCTGAAAGGCGAAGCCCACGCTTGATTTCACTTAAGCACTTATTTTAGCCCGAACTTGTAAAACGTGCGCCGATATACGTGATCGCACGTGGACGACATTTACACGTGGAATACCACGAGGGCTGGAATGGGTACTTACAGGAAGGTCAACGGGAATTTCAATCCGACATGTTCTACGATCTCTTTCTTTTCCGCGCTCGGTTTCTTTCTCGGTAGCGACGTCGTGCACTGGCACAGCGATCGCTTGCTTCTTGACACGTGCACCGTCTGCGTTCGATTTGGGTTTAACGGAGATTTCATATGGGATATGATCGATGGAATTTTATTTTAATATTTAAGTTTTATATGTATCGGGATATAGGTGTTGAATTCTCACGAGGATTATGATCAAAGTGGAATGTAGAATTAAGGTTAGAATTTTAGAATTGTGATACTCGGAGGGAGGGAGATTCAAATTGGTGGAACACGTTCAAAGGAGTTTATTTAATTATATGGAATTAATCGCTGATTTTGTCTTTGATAGTATTTGTTGTCTGATTTGGTCGCATTTGAACTTTTAGTTAGAATAATATCGATTGTTTTAGCAATAAATATTAATTAGAATAATTAGAAATTAATTAAATTCAATTGGTAATAATATTAAATATTATCGATTTTTCCTGTGATTATGTTGTGACACGTGAAATCGTTATTTTTATTAAAACAGTATTTTCAGAAGATTTGATTAGATAATATTATCTTATGCTTTTGCTGCAACGAATTTGTTTAAAATTGAATAAATAAATTTTCAATTTATACTTCAGCTTTGATCATCGATAATTCATTATTTTTCATATATTCTACTATCTTTGAACAGATTAATCGGATTAATCTAAAATCTAAAAATTTACCTAATTAATAATTTCATTTACCAGACTAACGAATAGTAAATAAACATTTCTGTAACACCACAACTACCGAACTGTAATTCGCAATTAAATATACTACATATAAAAGGCAATTGTAGTGATATAATAAACATAAATAGCTAATGTATAACGACTTATTTCCATCTAAATAGAAATCGAAATTAATTTTGTCAAAATCAATTACATATACATTTTCGTTAATTACAAAAGTAATAAAATATCCCATTCAGAAAAAAAGGAAGGAAAAGCTAGTTTGACTTATTTGGTAGTATTAATATCAATGAAAATTTTCAGATCATTCGCGTGTTCTAAGGTTACATACACAGTCACAACGTAACAGTAATTGAATCGAAACTCTTTCCACGTGCAATCAGACCGTTCTTAATCAACAAGAGGAGCCTGGTAATGCATCGAAACTGGTTACGCAGTGTTACTTGCGCCAGAACACGTGTAACCCGTGTGACGCTTGGTCGAAGCTTGCAGATTTTGTGTCACGTCGTTGATCGTGTTACGAGCTCTTTCGTCACAGGCCAATTTATCGATTCTGAACGGGAAAAAATTGTACGGGCTGGCACGTGTGTCCCGCCTATATACTCCTCCTATATTTTGAAGGATTCCTGGTAAATGTCTACGAATGTAGGCTAGTTGAACTAGGCTAGGCTCCTCTGTTAAAATAGAATTAAAGAATGAGAATTTTGCAAACGTGCACAATTATATCAGCGATTATTAGATCATCGGCATTACGTAACAGCGATATGTTCATACAGCCTGTTATTTTATAATCCTTATATAACCCAAAGACATTATTATTCCTCTGCATCGTTTTTAAATAATTCGGAAATTCCTTCGTTTTTCTATTTTCTCTTCTCTTTTGCGATATTAAAATTGTAACGCGTATGTTAAGCATAGATATCAATGCCTATTTACATAGATATTACGCCTATCGTTGTATTGAATCGTTTGCTGAGGTTGAGTCACTTGCTTTGCAGACACGTGTACATTATACATACTGTTAATTTCCTGGTATATTATCGTGAGGTAAATCGTTTACGTCGAGTTAATTTAAACAAGACATTTGTAACTGAAGTTAGTCCCTGTTATTGCATACATGTAACGTAGATCAAGGCTCCGTGAAAGTCAGTTACATATGTAAGCGCGTGATTTTATTTTACGAAATGCAGTGGTCACTGACCCATCAAAAAATTCTGTTAGGTTTATTTTCATCGTTGAATGGACTACATTTGCATGCTTTCCAATTTTAAATTGGCATGCATCCACGTACATGCAGATTTTATAGGGACAGATTTTTAACCATGTTTTTACATTCGATGATGTTCTTCGATATTTTGCGTTATTTTTAAGATATATGATTTAACGTGTAATGTTTAAAATGTAAGATCTGAATGCAGAGATATTTCGCTGTTTTCATGTTTTAATTCATATTGGTTTTATCCTCCGATGCACGTTTGAGGTATTAAAAAATATTTTGTAAAGATTATTTCACAAATCTGGAAGGAATTATGTCTGCAAATATAAATTTCGTTTCAAGATTAAAGATTATTTTGCTTTTTAAATAATTTATAATATTTATTTAACATTAAATCTATTGTTCTTGTTATTTTATATTCGTTATTTAAATACATCATTATATTTTTAATGTTTTTTTAATTATGGACAATTATGCTCAATAATTGTCATACAAATGACTCTGACATTATCATTTATAGATTTAATGTTAATCATTGTATATTATACTTAACAAAAAATATTTCAAAAAGTAAAAAAAGCAACCATAAATATTTCTATCTGAAAATGAATCATATATAAAGACCACAGCGGAAGAACGTGATAAGACTTTGTTGATTTTCCAATTTTGATATTCCTCGATA